GCAAACACAGGGAGTCACGTATCTACTTGAAATCTCTTAGTAGGGACCCTGGTGAAGTTTGCTCAGCATCAGATGTCTAGTGAGACTCCAAAGCACAAGGTGAATCACTACTGTCCTAGGACAGCAAGCTTTGGTTTTCTAGTAGAGATTTTAAACATGTAGCCTGTGTTCCCAGCTCTCCTGTGGGAAGGTTTCCACCTACTGGTTTGAACCTAGAATACAACTTGTTAAATGACAGGTTTCAGAGTAACAGCCGTGTTAGTCTGTATTTGCAAAAAGAAAAGGAGGATTTATGACACTTTAGAGACTAACCAATTTATCTGAGCATAAGCTTTTGTGAGCTACAGCTCACTTCATCAGATGCATGCAGTGGAAAATACAGTGGGGAGATCTATATACACAGAGAACATGAAACAATGGGTGTTACCATACACATTGTAAGGAGAGTGATCACTTAAGGTGAGCTATTACCAGCAGGAGAGCGGGCGGGGCAGGGGAGGGGAACCTTTTGTAGTGATAATCAAGGTGGGCCATTTCCAGCAGTTGACAAGAACGTCTGAGAAACAGTGGGGGGTAGAGGGGGGGAATAAACATGGGGGAAATAGTTTTACTTTGTGTAATGACCCATCCGCTCCCAGTCTCTATTCAAGCCTAAGTTAATTGTATCCAGTTTGCAAATTAATTCCAATTCAGCAGTCTCTCCTTGCAGTCTGTTTTTGAAGTTTTTTGTTGAAGAATTGCAACTTTTAGGTCTGTAATCGAGTGACCAAAGAGATTGAAGTGTTCCCCCTCCCCGCTCTCCTGCTGGTAATAGCTCACCTTAAGTGATCACTCTGGTTACAGTGTGTATGGTAACACCCATTGTTTCATGTTCTCTGTGTATATAAATCTCCCCACTGTATTTTCCACTGAATGCATCCGATGCAGTGAGCTGTAGCTCACGAAAGCTTATGCTCAAATAAATTGGTTAGTCTCTAAGGTGCCACAAGTCCTCCTTCAACTTGTTAAATGCGTTTATCACTCTTTCAGAAGTTTCATTTCTCAATAGCCACAAGTGTGTCTCTCAGCGAAGGGTAACAGTGCCGGAGTCTCTCCCGACTCCTTTTGTTTTTTAACCACTGGTGTGTCCCCTGTAACTCCACTGGAGCTTTGCTTCCCTGGAGTCGCTCTGATTTCCACTGATGACAGGAGAATCAAACCCATCTGTATCAAAGTTCTCCCCAGTCACTGACAGCCCAGGCTGCAGGCTGGCTCTTGCTTATCCATATGAGTAGGCAAGGAAATCTGCAGCCAGGAAGAGAACTGAGTGAAACAACCCTTGTGCCTCCCACAACCCAGGGAGTTCAACCCCCCATGTGCTCTTGGCGGATGTCCAGTGGCTCCAGCCATAAAGAAGCATGTAGCTTAAGGTTCACAGGTTTGTAAAGTCACAAGGGGTCATTATGATCTGACCTCACATATAACATGATTCCACCCACTAATTCCTGCATCAAGCGCCTAACTTCTGGTTGAGCATAGCTCAGAGAAAGATCCAATCCTGATTTCTCTCCATGGATCATGTCAGGGACGTGGTCTGCTCATTTTGGTGCACAGCCCCAGTCCCTTCCCTGCTCAGATTTCTCACAGGAACGTCAATACGAGCTCAGTCCAGTGGATCATCTAGCACGGTATCCAGTCCCGGACAGCACAATGTCTTCCCCCATTTCATGCAGACTGGGAAGATCCCTGCACAGAAATCCTCCTCTGTGCATGGATGGCCAAGGCATGCTATGCAACGCAAACCTCCACAGCAGCAGCACCCACTACGCACTTCTTGATCCCAAACTGGTGCCCATACAGGGTTGCCAGCTTCTGTAAGGCAAGCCTACTCTCTCTCCCCCCAGCGGAGTGGTGCTCTCATCCTGGGGGGCTGGCACTGCAGTGTTAGGACTAGCTCACCACAGGGGGCCAGAAGTGGCTCCCTTCTCCTCCTTCCAGCCCTGTTTGTCTCAGGGAGCTCCAGGGGCAGTGAGTTCCAGAGGTTTGCTTGGTGCTGTGTGAAGAAAGGTTTTCATATGGTTTTAAATGCTCAGGCACATCCTTCTCAGCAGCGCCCCTTTGTTCAACGAGCGAGGGAGAAAGGAAAAAGCAGCTTCCAACTGCATCTTTCCCATGCTTAGAAGTCAGATTCCACAGCATATTAGTGGCAGAGTTGGGCACAGAGCCCTGACTTTAACCACTAGTTCCCTCTGCCTCCCTCGCCCGTCAGATCTCATTGCACATGCTGTAAAGGTCTCTGTGACCCGCACCATGCGCTCCTGCACTGAGAGGTGCATGGACCCAGCCAGGTGGTCAGCTGACCTGTTCACTGCACATGCCACAGTGACTTTTAGGGCTTTATTTTCAGGGGACTATGCAAGCTCAGATGTGGTCATTTGAAATGAGAACACAAGGTTATTTTATCCCAGTTACAATTCATCCACCCTTGTGCTGCCTGATCTGGCCCCCCAGCTCCGCAGTGTGACTCTCCCCAAAAACGAGCCGGTTAGCATCATTGGTTAAAAATTTTATTAGAGACTCAAAAAATCCCAAACTCCCCATCGTTCAGCTATTTGATATTCCTAGAACCAGAGACCCTGTATAAAGTAGATAATTTATTTCTGATAAATGTCTGAAAGCAAGAAACCCGCATCCCTGAGTGTGTGAGGTAGAAGAGCAAACCCACCCCCGGCAATGATTCTGGACTCTCTGGACTCCCCACACTCGCCCTGTGAGCTGCTGGGACACTTGAACAGGTACAACCCCAGTGACACGCAGTAAAGCCTCTCTGGCTGGCGGGAATCAAACCCAGGGAACGCCGACAAAAGACGTCACACGCAACAACTTCCCCAGCCTCCCTGCTGGGCAAGGGGAGGGGAGAGAGGCACTCCAGTGAGCCCTGGGGCCCCGGCAGTGCCCAGTACTTTGTCCCAAGGCTGATGGTCCAAGTGGGACAACCAGGATAGGGCCCCAGTTGTGCTGGATGCTGTCCATAGAGTAAAAGTTGGCCCCTGCCTGCCACAAAGACCTTTCAAGCTGAGGCCCTGATTCTTGCAAAGACATGCACATGAAGGTAACTTCGCACATAGTGCAAACTGTCCCATCGGACTCAACGGTCCATTGACTTCATCATTGGCCCATTGACTTCACTGGGAGTTCTGCTGTCTGGATTATGGCTCCTTCAGGCGCTAATAATCTAAAATGTTGACTTCACCCTCTGGTATGCAGGTATCCTGCAGAAACACCCTCTGGCGTGCAAGCAGGTGCACTGACTGGGATCTGAATGACAGGACTGGGTACCATATATTGGAAGGCATCATCATGCCCTGAGAAAACTATTTGAACATAAACAACGAGGGGTCCTTCTGGCACCTTAGAGACTGTAGCGAGGCAAGACTCACTGCTGCAGCACCTCCCGCTGGTCATCCTGGGAATGAGCTCTCCAGCCTCTGGAGCGCCCTCTGCAGGCTGGTGTCCTGCTTGCTTGCGGGTCCTGTGTCCCTCCCGGACCCCCTCTACATCAGAGTTCTGCCCCCTGAACTACCCCTGCAGTCTAGGTCTCCCCTCCCTGGGGAATCCCCACCTTCTATCTCCACCTTGCTTCAGTGGCTACTGCCAGTCCCCATCTAGCTCCTGCTCACTGGGGCAGGCTGCAGTCTGTAAACCACTCATCATCGGCAAGGGGGGTTTGGACCTGCTGCCTTTGCCTATCCATGGGCTGCCCCTCTGCAACCCCAGTACCTGCTTTAGGCCTTCAGCAAGGCCTGTAGGCTGGGAGTTTTCTAGCCTGGAGCGCCCCAGCTCCTTTGGCCTTTCCCTAGCCCTGCTCCACTCTGGGTACCCTGCTGAGGTCCCAAGCAGCCAGGCCCATCTCTCTCCACTGCTAGAGAGAGACTGCCTGAGTTCCTGGCTCACAGCCTTTTATAGCTCCAGCTCCAGCCTGATTGGGGCGAGGCCCCAGCTGTGGCTGCTTCCCCGTCAGCCTAGTCTTTGGCTCCCAGCCCCAGTCCTCTCCCAGGGCTAGCTGTAACCTTTCAGGCCCGGAGTGGGTGACGACCCCACTACAGAGACTAACAAATTTATTTGGGCATAAGCTTTCGTGGGCTAAAACCCACTTCATCAGATGCACGGAGTGAAAAATACAGTAAGCAGTATATATATTACAGCACCTACTGTATTTTTCACTCCATGCATCTGATGAAGTGGGTTTTAGTCCATGAAAGCTTATGCCCAAATAAATTTGGTAGTCTCTAAGTTGCCAAAAGGACTCCTTGGTGTTTTCACTGATACAGACTAACATGGCTACCCCTCTGAAACCTATTTGAAGATAGAATGTTAAAATGTTATATAGTTTCACAGAGTGTGAGACCAGAAGGCACCATTGGGCCATCTCCTCTGACCTCCTGCACATCATAGGCCAGAGAATTTCACTCACTGACCCCTGTATTGAGCCCAGTGACTTTAGTTAGGCTAAAGGAGTAAATTCGTCAGGAGACTAAACTGTTGGCTGCCACAGGCAGGGTAAAGGAGGGACCATGGTGTCACCAGTGCCTGAGGCTACTGCAATGGTGGGGAATTGATTAGGTGACAAATGCCCAGATGATCCAAGCAGGTGATCCAGCCCCATGCTTCAGAGGAAGGCGAAACCCACCACCCATGGTCCCTGCCAAACTGAGCTGGGGTGAAATTCCTCCCTGACCACAGATCTGGGGATCAATCTGACCCTGCACATGTGAGCCAGATTCACCAGCCAGGCAGCTGAGAAAGAGGATTTGCTGGACCACCTGAGCTCTGCTGCACCCTGCCCTGTGCCCTGACTCTGATGCTTCAGAGGAAGGAGAGAAAAAAAAAATCTCAGAACACACCAGTCCAACAGTTCACTGGGCAGAAAGATCCCTTCCTGACCACTGTAAGTGACCGGCTATAGCCCTGAAGCATGAGATTTGATTACAGTTATTCTCATAATGCAGAACTGCAGGTGTTACAAGCATGCTGAGGGCAGAGCAGGGCTTCCTGGCCTCCCCGTGGCCCATGAAGGAGGGGAACGAACAGGGGGAGTCATAGATTCCCACATTCCAAGGCCACCATGACATCCACCCCTCCCACGCCCCCCAAAGGCTTTAGAATTTCTCCTAGAAGCTGGGTTAAAGTGTATACTTAAAAAAGATATAAAAGCTTGTCTCAAAGACTCCAAGTGACAGCGAGCGCACCACCTCCCCAGCAAGCTGTTCCGATGTTTAATCCTTCGTCTTGCTAGGAAATGGCATCTTATTTCAAGGTTGAATTGATCTAACCTCAACTTCCAGCCACTGGATTTTGTTCTGCCTTTGTCAGCCAGGCTGAGAAGCCCCCTGCCTGCTGATCTCTTTTCTTGGCAACAATGTGGGAGGATTTAACTGGGAACATCACTTTTAACAACTCAAGAAGCAGAAGCTGATGCAATTTCTTCCCAAGTGGGGTTATTGGGGCACTTATTGTTTTGAGACAGACAGAAAAATTAAATGCCTGGTATTGAGACTGCTGCCTTCACCTCAACATGTGCCATATTAATATAATAAAGCAGCATGCTGGAAGATTAGACATTTGCTGTGACTTCATTGCCGGTGTAGTATACCATAGCCTACATGGTTTTAAAGCAGTGTTTAGACACCCTTATAAGTTGGCTGGTGATTTGAAAACAGCCAGTTGGCTTGTGCTGTCACGGAGCTGGGATCAGTTCATATGCTGGATTCAGCTGGAAATGCCGTCTTCCAGCCAAACAGGAACGTATTGTTAAATAAGGCTGGATGTGGGCGTTGTTCTGACTTCAGCACACTATTAATCCATCTTCTTTGGGAGACAGCCTTCCATTTCCAGAACTTCCGGCCAGCCGTCATATTTGTTTTTTGCCGCTTCATTTTTTAAGTGCTTTGGAGGGGGAAAAATGAAATAAAGCAGAGGGTTTGGCAAGCGCAGAAGTGAATGTCAGATTTACAAGACGACAGATAATCAGTATAATGTGGTATAATGTCATCTCCCCTGCATGCATTGCCAGCATGGCTTGGAACATGGGTGTTCAGCCCTGCAGCACAGAGCTCTACCGCTTGAGCTAAAGGAGAAGCTCCATTAGCTGGTAGTGGTAGTAGGCTGTTGTCCTTTAGTGGACCTGCCATTTAGTTAGTGAATTGTATATGCAAGATGAAGGGTACATTTTCAGCAGACAGTGCAGAAAGTTCAGGTGCTTACCACTTAGGGTATAAAGATTATGCCATTACAGAATTATCAACCCAGTTCTGACTCTATACATTTTTGACCACACATGCAAAAGCAGCACCAGTGTGTGCTGGAAGGAGCAGAGGTGGCTCCAGGCTCCCATCTGCCAATGCAGACTGTCTGTGCGGGAGCAGCACAAGACTGCATGGAGAGGGGAATACATAGGAGACGGTCATGTCTTGGGGCACACAGGACATGTCTCTGCTGCTGCACAGTTGCGGTCACTGGGAGGCCTGTGCAGTGGCTTCTCAATCGGTGGCTTTGGAGAAAGCTGGAATTAGGACAGAAGCATTTTGCCTCACACATTCTCTATGGCCCAGGCTTCTCCAGTGCACGTGTGTGAAGAGTGCCCCACTGGAGGTCAGCCCCGTGCAGCGTCTCAGTGTGGGGCACAGGAACTGGGCTGCAGAAGGGGACGTTTGATTTGTCCGTTTACATGCGAGGCCTGGCAGGTTCCTCCAGTTCCGTGCGGCTGTACAGCAGTGCAAGGGAACAGAGGGCAAGCTTTGGATTTGCCTGTGTGTGCCACATGGTCTCGCTGAACTATGGCCAGAGCCAGGCACTTGCCAGGCTTTAAAAAAAAAAAAAAAGAATTTGTCCGAGTCAAACGAATACCTGCAGGAGACAGGACAGCCTGAATGGTAGCAGCTCAGGCAGAAGTGGCGCTACTACTAACCAAGGCCACAGGCTTCCTCTTGGGGGAGAGGGGAAAATACCTGTTCATAGGGGCTTTTATCCTTGAGCCCTTTTGCACCCACGAAAGTCCAGTTGTCTCGGAAGGCCAGCTTGCTCGCGTGGCTACTTCCCAGGTTGGTGAGTAACGTCCGTGCTTCATCGTTCAGCCTAGGAGAAAAAGGGAAAACAGGAGAGCTGGGTAGCAGCTCCCTCATCCTCTCAAGGGAAGCCTGCACTGCCGTTCCAGCCAGGTTCCGGATCAGTGCGACGCGCTCACCAGCGTAGTGCTGAGTCTTCCCATTGGGCATTACGCAACTTGACAAACAGCTGTCACCTATTTGTTCTTTCATCTTCTCCTCTGGGGGAGACGTGTGTGCAGGGGAGTGCTGGGTTTGGAGTTTTTAAAACCATATCATTATAATTTTTATAATAATTGGGTAATGTACCTGTTGTGATATGTTTGGTATAGATGGCAGGTCAAAGAAATGTGCCTTGCACTTGGGGAAGAAGGTGGGGAGGTTCGTGATGGTCCAGAACTCCTGGGGGACATTCAGTGCAGCTTCCTGAGCACTGGTGTAATGCGTAACGTGTTCTCCATCTGACACATGGTGACTGGCAAGCAGACAGCTGCATTCTGCATCGTCTGAGGTTTCTGAATGGTCTCAAGGGGTAGCTCCCTGTAGAGCACATTATCTTAATCCAGTTTTGATTGCAATGCAAGGACTGTCTGTATGGACTTGGCGTCTGATCCTGCTCCCCCAGAACTGAACGAGAGATTTGCCATTGACTTTGTGGGTGAAGGACTGGCCCTTGGAAATCAAACATCACTTCCTTGGATTATACTTACTTTGTTGCTGGATCATCGTAGGAGGCAACTATCACTATAGTGCCACTTTGGATTGCTTTCAGGAAGTCCAGTAACAGATTGATATCTGGTAAAGAAAAGAAAATCAACGGAAACATTCTGCTAAAAGACCTGGTACCCAGCCACAACCAGTTTCCCAACAGATGTTGCACAGGGATAGTGGCTCAGCATAAGCACTACGTCCTTCAGTCCTGGGAGAGTCCTCAGCGTGAATTGCAGAGGAGAATTTCACCCATAGAGTACAACAGCATTTTCCAAGTCAGACTGAATTCGCAGCACACTGACGTTAAGAGAACAGACCTGTTTCAGACGATAGACAGCAATGTAACTTCTACACAATTGCACTTGCTGGCATAACATGCATACTGGTTTCATTTAATCATGCTTTATGTTAGAAAAAAACTGCACAGAGATCTTACTGCAATGAACTTTAAGTTATTTGACTAGCTACTCGGATACTGAGGTCCTGACCGTATGGAAAGGCTATGGTTTTTGAAAGATGGCGTCTGTCTTCCACTAATAATTTCCTTTCCAATTATTCTCTTTTGGGTTTCCCTGGTGAGCCAAATGAGCCCATTTCTGTAAAGTATTATTTATAGCTTTCCTATCCAACATGGTTTAAATCAAAGTTCATCACACAGCATCATTTAGGCTAATTAATAAAATACCTCCTTGCTGATCAATCAGCCAAAAGCGATTGGGCTAAACTCATTAGGATCAAAGACAACTGCCACCTCACATACCCACTGGGCTGTTCCATGGAGTGGCTTAATGACCGGGCCTCAGATACACAACAACTGTGCATAGAATGTTCTGCCTCGCGGAGAACTGTTCAGCTGAAAATTAATTTCTCCACATTTTGGCGTAGGATCGGAGCAGGTGCCGAATGCCCCCTCAGCACCTTTTAACTTCAATGGGTTCGAAGGCAGTCCCCAATTTGCAGACGGTCCCTTGCACTTTGCAGGATTGGGCCCTTTGCACCATGTGCAGAGCTAATTTCTCCCACGGCCATGGTATGGAAAGCTGTCTTTGCCAGCAAAACTAGTGGAAGCAGGTATCAGGCATCTATTATTAATGTTTGCTCAGTAACGATGGAATTCCATTTCACTAGCATGAGTCTGGTGGGAGCAATGGAAATGAAGATTAATGGCACATGGAACTAAACGCATAGCTCGGGATCCTGATCCTGCAATCGGATACACCTAGGTGCAACGGTCTGATCCAATTGCATGTTTGCAGCCCTAGTTAGCTACATAAAATTGGATGCAGATTAGCTAGCACTTTGAGACTCCATTGCAGCCGTTACCGGTACCCACTGTAGTCACTTGAGATTCTTCAGTGTAAGGCTCTGTCTAGGGACCTGCGGAGAACTGCAGCTTCTGGACTGACAATGCCTGGGGCAATGACAATGACAATGCTGCGCAGCAAACGTTCAGCCGGTGCACAGCCACCGCCGGGGTAGGAGGGCATAAAGAGCTCTTGGGCAGAACGGGTCTAATCCTGTACACGGCTGAGCACCCAGACGTCCAGGACGGCTGAGGGTGCTTTGCAGCTCACAGGAAACACTGAGCCCTTAGCCCCGGAAAGCGACAGTCATCCTGTGCAGAAGGCCCGAAGCAAGCCCTAAGAGCCAGTTAAGCCCCTCTGAGGGCTCGAGTGGTTCCTGAGCCTAGCGCTGCCTCCCCGCACAGGTGAATTGCACTCGCAGAGCGTAAGTGACTTGTCCCTCTGTTCTTTCCACATCGGTTTCAAATTAAACATCTGGGGCCACATCCTCAGCTGGTGTAACCTGGTGTATCTCCACTGTTGTTAACAGTCCCACGCTGATTGACACCAGCTGAGGGTCTGGCCCCGCAGTGCCCAATCCTGCCCTCTGCTGCCTGCAATAGGGTAGCAGAGGTGTACCCGCATGCAGAATTTGGCCTCTTGGATACTGGCAGGTGGAATAATCATGCTGGAAAGCCAAGAGTGCGATGGCAGTTAAGGCATTTCCCCCTATCAGACTGCAGGTTGGAGGGTTCTCTGGCTGGAAGACTCTGAGCAATGACATTCCTAATGGAGAACAGCTCCATGGAGATCCTTGGGGAGTTCAGCATACAACCTACGGATGAGCTTTCTTACAGAGCTAACACCACGTACTCTGCACTTTGTGATCGGCCAACTGCTAGATACACATTTCAGAAGGGCTGGCATCTGGGCACTGTAGTATCTACACGACACAAAACGTGGGCCCAGTACTGTCCCGTTCACTCACAAGAGGCATCCCATTAAAACCTGCAGAATAATTAATGTGAGCAGAGCGAGGGGGATTTCTATAGGAAGATAAAGACTGTTTTTTAAAAACATGCTTTTAGATGGATGTGATTAATGCAGAAAGCGACTTAGCATCCATACATTGAATCTGTAATTTACTCTGTGATAGGAGGGGAAGAAAAGAAGCTACATAAAACAAGATTGCCAAACCCCAGTGTTCAGAAACCATGAGTCAGGTCTCATTGGTTTAATAATCACAATACTTCAAAAATAATAAATATGGATCTTTTTATGCGCCTTGTTTATTGAGACATTAGGGGGCACGTTTTCAAGCTCTTCTCCACAGCCATGAGGGCCAGAAATGTCCTTTTTTAAAAAAAATATAAAACCCAAGAGTCTCATTTAATAACAAGATTCCAGGAGTAGGGGCTTAAGGAAAACACCAAACAGAAATAGCAAGAGTTGGCAGCACTGCTTAGGTCCATTTCATTTTACTAGTGAGTAAACAGACGAGAAGGTAGAAGGAGCTAGTTATCAATACTGCTTGCAATTCTCTGGATCTTACTATAAAAGTGAAGTGCTGGTAGATGCTGAGTGTTTAGGGAAAGCAAAGCCCTACCTCCAGAATACATGTCGAAGACGTCGGTTTTCATGAGCTGGCCATTTGTTCCTAAAGTGGGAAATGAAATAGCGCAATTACTTTCGAAACTGTAAGCTTTGTGACAGAAATGCATTGTTTAGTCCTTCTGTTCAGCTCACGCATCCAGGGGAATATGTGCAGAATTGCTCCTTGGTGCAATCCTGCACTTTGTAGAGGATACGGTGCCTATGACTGGAACTATGAGATTAGCACAACGATCTGGTAGTGGGGAAAGGATCTAGTGCTGTTGAATGAGCAGAGCTGCTAAAATAAGTGACACCAGGCTGAATGGCCATCAGTTCATTTTAGGTCCCAGTCCAGCAAAAGGGACCAACTAGAACAGATCCTTGTGCCACCAGCAGAGGAGGCTCAATGGAGCTCCAGAATGGTCTGAGCTGGTGGATCCGATTGCAGGATTGGGACCATAATGTGGAATGAAAACATTAAATCAGGCAATGGCAGCACCCCCCGATCCCAGGGAGAGGGGCCCGATCTGCCAAAGAGAGAAATGACACCAGCAGAAGGAAAGCGTGGAGTGCTGATCTCACACAATTCCGTAATGAAAAGCTCAATGTGGATTGTCCCAGGCCTGTGTGAGCTATTCCTAGGAATTCCTGAGTGCTAAATTCACACCCCACAGAGTCCGTCAATCTGCAGCGATGCTGCTGATAAATGACAGTGAAAGTTTTCATTCTAAAAAGAGCAGAGTACGTTGGAGGAATGCAAGGTTCCCTAAGACCAACCCCCTACGTTAAACCCTTGGCCTCCTCAGTGGACCCACTTCGGCTCTGACACCCATGCAGCCTCCTGACATCTGTGGGGCTAGGTGGATGTGTGGGCAGATTTTGACAATCTGTGGTGTCTGTAGCCAGGCTCAGGAGCAGCTGGGGTGTCTCCATCTCCGTCTTTATCACACCGCTGCCCACTCTCCCAGTCGGGCAGGAGCAAACTAGAATTGGCAGGAACTGAACGCTCTTGGACAGTCTCACGCCATGCCCCTCGGAGACTCCAGAGGCTGCCCGCTAACCCGCTCGGTGCATTGGAGTGCCGAGGTGTGACACGCAGGTGGCAGGCTGTGCAGTCACTGATAATATCATCCCATGCTGATGGGGAGGTCCATTCACTGTTAGATCTCTCTGCCTGGGTCTGTGGGATGCAGGGGAAGGGCCCAGGAGTCTCCTCGCCCCACTTCTGATGCAGCAGGGGGCTGGGCACAGTCTGTTTGGGGACGGGAGACTCTGGAGCAGCTGCGCGTCAACAGCACTCCCAGCCTCCCCAGTGGGGAGGAGAGGGGAGGGCCACGAGCTCACATCTCCATCCACATGGCCTGGGGGCAGGAGGAGAGGAAGAAGGGTAGGCTGTGGGCGGTCAAAGGCGTGTGCAAATGTCCCTCTCCTGGGCACTCCCCTGGCATCCCAGGCCAGCCAATCAGATGTGTTAGCCAGGATCCCGTGAGGGGTCCCCAGGGCAGGTCAGCCCTGCTGCTCCCTCAGACACCGGCTGCATTGGTTTCCAGCACAGGAGAATGCTACTCAGTGCCCGAACCTCACAGTGTAACGTAACTCTGGTCCTACTGACCTGTGCTGGGGCTGGGACAACAGACCAGCTCTTCCCAAGTGGTGGTCTCCTGCCGGCGGCCATGCCTTGCCCTGCTTGCCATGGGCCACCCTGTCCCCATTAAACGCCCAGCCTAGCCACCAGAACAAGGGGAGTGGTTGTGAGCCACATAGCGGCCGTACTGGAAATGGTCTTTCCTTAAGAACATAAGAACGGCCATATTGGGTCAGACCAAAGGTCCATCTAGCCCAGTAACCTGTCTTCTGATAGTGAGCAATGCCAGGTGCCCCAGAGGGAATGAACAGAACAGGTAATCATCCAGTGATCCATCCCCTCGCCCATTCCCAGCTTCTGGTAAATAGAGGCTAGGGACACCATCCCTGCCCATCCTGGCTAGTAGCCACTGATGGACCTATCATCCATTAACCTATCTAGTTCTTTTTTTGAACGCTGTTATAGTCCTGGCCTTCACAACCTCCTCTGGCAAGGAGTTCTACAGGTTGACTGTGTGTTGTGTGAAGAAATTCTTCCTTTTGTTTGTTTTAAACGTGCTGCCTATTCATTTCATTGGGTGACCCCTAGTTCTTGTGTTATCAGAAGGAGTAAATAACACATCCTTATTTACTTTCTCCACACCAGGCATGATTTTATAGATCTTGTCATATCCCCCCTTAGTTGTCTCTTTTCCAAGCTGAAAAGTCCCAATCTTATTAATCTCTCCTCATATGGCGACGCTCCATACCCCTAATAATTTTTGTTGCCCTTTTCTGAACCTTTTCTAATTCCAATATATATTCTTAGAGACGGGGCAACCACATCTGCAAGCAGTATTCAAGATGTGGGCGTACCATGGATTTCTATAGAGGCAATATGATATTTTCTGTCTTATTATCTATCCCTTTCTTAATGATTCCCAACACTCTGTTAGCTTTTTTGATGGCCTCTGCAAATTGAGTGGATGTTTCCAGAGAACTATCCACAATGACTCCAAGATCTCTCTTGAGTGGTAACAGCTAATTTAGACCCCATCACTTCATATGTATAGTTGGGATTCTGTTTTCTGATGTGCATTACTTTGCATTTATCAACATTGAATTTCATCACCCTAAGGGGTGCCATGTTATGTCCATTTTGTTGCCATCACCCAGTTTTGTGAGATCCCTTTGTAACTCTTCACAGTCTGCTTTGGACTTAACTATCTTGAGTAGTTTTGTATCATCTGTAAATTTTGCCCCCTCACTGTTTACCCTTTTTCCAGATAATTTATGAATATGTTGAATAGGACTGGTCCCAGTACAGACTCCTAGGGGACACCACTATTTAACTCTGTCTATTCTGAAAACTGACCATTTATTCCTACCCTTTGTTTCCTATCTTTTAACCAGTTACTAATCCATGAGAGAACCTTCCCTCTTATCCCATGACAGCTTACTTTGCTTAAGAGCCTTTGGTGAGGGACTTTGTCAAAGGCTTTCTGAAAATCTAAGTAGACTACATCCACTGGATCCCTCTGATCCACATGCTTGTTGACCCCCTCAAAGAATTCTAGTAGATTGGTGAGGCATGATTTCCCTTTACAAAAACCATATTGATTCTTTCCCAACAAATTATGTTCTTTATGTTCACTGCCATAGTATGGAAAGCTGTCTTTGCCAGCAAAACCAATGGAAGCAGGCATCTATTATTAATGTTTGCTCAGTAACTATGGAATTCCATTTCACTAGCATGAGTTTTGTGGGAGCAATAGAAATGAAGATTAATGGCACATGGAACTAAACGCATAGCTCAGAATCCTGATCCTGCAATCGGATACACCTAGGTGCACCCCGGGCCCCTTTCACTGCTGCATTACCCTCGTCTCCTGCCTGCACAGCTGCACTGGTTGCAATAGAACCACCCGGGCAGAGTAACAGTGGGGCCCCTGGGGTCTCTCTTTCTACCGGAGATGTTCTCTGATAATCGGCCTTTTGTCAGATTGACTTCAAGCTGCCAAGCTGAGCTCCCATTGCGGGGGCATGGCAGCTCCTTCATGCCGGAGCTGGGCCCTTTCCCTGAAATGCCGACCAGAGAATTCAGTTCTCGAGTTAAGGATGCCAGTGAGCAGAGAGACAAAGCTACAGTGTCTTTTATCGTCTGTCCCAGTGGCTTATGCCCCAGCTCCTGCTAAATGGGTTCCTAAGGGGTGCCATGTTATGTCCAGCAGTAGGAGAGACTCAGAGCAAACCTACTGATACCTGACCGCCTTCCATTAACTCTGCCAGGGCACAGCTTGCTGAGCCCGCTTTCCTCCCTGTGGGGGAGCTACCTGGTTAAAGCTCTGTGCTTTTTGTGGGGATTGCTATTTAAACCCTGAGCTGTGTTAACACCCATTGAGCTCTGAACCTCCCAGCTATTTTCTCATTGCCACCGTATCTTTCTGGAGACCGGCAGGATGAGGGACTTGGCTCTGTTCAGTGCCCAGCCAGCAGTGTCAGTCTGTGTTTCTGGGGCCTGTGCCAAATTCGGCATCGGGCCAGTGATTTTGCTCACTCTGGGAAACTCAGCAGGGGGTGCTGGGACTAACAGGGAGAGTACAAAGAAAGGTTAAATGACGAGGGAGGTTTACTCCAGGAATCAATATGTTTTTGGTCAGCAGCCAATAAGAGGCCAAACCTTGAGGTCCCTGCTCCAGCAAGACTAGATGAAAATGGAGTGAATGCTGTTCAACAGGAGTTTGCCTGACTAAGGACTACCAGAGTGGGCCCAATAATGCTACTTAATGCTCTGCAATGCAAGAGTCAGATCTTCACCTGGTGTGAGCTGAAGTCACTGGACCTGGGCTGACCTCCACTAACTGGGATCTGGCCCTCTATTTGCTGGGCAAGCATTAGTTAATTGAGAGACAGCTGACTCATAATTAAATAGGTAACTAGCTATAAACCTAGAGCCCAAGGAGTCATTACTGATCAGTTACTCATGGAGGTGAGCAGCTGCCCAAATGCATCAAAATGGCTGGGGCTGCAGCCCTGCAGTCGGTGCGGGACAGGGCACCCTGTGTAAAAAGGAGAATGATTCCCATTCCGAGAACTCACCGTTTACTAGTGCGATGTTTAACCCTCTGCCAACGTTGCTCTTCACGCCACTCATGATACTGGAAATAAAGTGCAGAGAATAAAATGGCAAGTAGCATCATCCTAGCAATGTCTGTGCAAAGGAAAGAGCCCAGCATGGCCATTTGAAAAGGGCGTCCGCAGGGTTTGGTTTAGGCCAGCTGCAATGTCCATGAACACAGCAGCAGGGAGACCTGTTTTCAAAGGGATTTCAACCCCATTTGTGCCTGTGCCCATCACCATTGCTACCCAGCAGGCTTTCTTCTCCTGTTCTGCGAGCAGGTGCCGTCCCCAGGTTCCCCCCACACACAGCCCACATACTATGTAGGGTCCAAACTTGTCCCTTGCCTGAGTCTGCTTTTGTCAAGCAAAGAAATTAACAACATGACAAAGAGCGGCTGAATCCCTCTCCCCAGGCTTGGCTGCTGCTAAGGTTCCTCCCTCACGGCTGCTCAGTCAACCCCTCCAAGTCCTCTCCCGAGAGAGTCCTTCCTACCTCCAGTGTAACATGGTGTTTTGGTGTGCTACTTCAGTACTTACATCGTATTTTCAAAGCACATCGAAGGCCCAACAACATTGGCTGCTCCACTCATGACTTTAAAGGCAAATGAGTTTTCGGGACAACTTTTTTGGTTACCACACTTGTTTCGTGGGGGTTGGGTCTCTGAAGGGAATGAAGAGCAGACTGTAAATTGCACTGCATTGCACAGGCAGCCTGTGAGGGTTTTCAATACATGGGCCAAATCCTGAGGGGACTGACTCAGTTTCTCTAGACACCAGAGGGAGTTTGCATCTAACCTGAGCAGAGATTTCAGTGTTTGGGGCACTGGGTGAAATTCATCCCTGCACAGTTGTGTGGGGGGGGGGGGGAGAGGGGAGAGGGGGAGGGCGGGGTATCACCTTGGCAGAGCACCACACGAGTTTATTGTTCCGATATTGGCACGCAACCATTCTGGGCAGAAAAGCGAGTCTGAAATAACTGCAGCATCTCTCAGGAAAGAGACGGACTGGGGTAAGCTCCAGTAGCCAGTGAAATGGAAGTTGCTGAGCAAAAGGCTCATTTAGCCGAGTCCCTTGAAAGTTTAACGAGGAATCAGTGTATCAGTGGAGGGGGTGAATCAGGCAGGGCCTGGCGCAGGCGTGTGTGATGCTGGTTCAGAGTGAATCGTTTGCCATCGCTAGCAGAGTGCAGCGTCCAGAAGGGGTTTGTCCCGCCCCAGTCAGCGGCTGTCTCAGCAGGCAGGTGAGTCCCAGACACAGCATCCATCGAGTGGAGACTGCTGCTCTCACTGCGTGCAGTCGCACCTGGGACCCTCGTCTAACTTCTGGCATCGCATGGGCCGGAGAACCTCGCCCAGTGATTCCTGCGTCCAGCCCAGCACCTTGCTGTGAGCCACAGCGCATCTTTCGGAAAGACACCGAGCCTCGAGCTGGCGTGCTTGGGAAGGCTCGCCTTGGAGGGGGCCGCTTGACATCAATACGGGGGGGCAGAACTGGGGCCTTGGTGTGACTCTCTGACAACAAGTCAGGCCCCAGGGATGAACTCCTGGCCCCACAGGAGTCACCAGTAAAACTCCCAGGCACTTCAGCGGGGCAGGATTTCACCCCTTGCCTCCCTCGTTCTGCCAGCACTTCTCAGAGCTCCGTGCGGCTCCGGCATGGTACAAGTGACATGAGAACGGTATACTCACTGGGCAGGTCGGGGCCGGCACCTGGAGAGACACAAACAACAGCATTACACTTCTGAGACATCCTGCCCTTTTGCCGAGCCGAACGAGAGACTGGGCAGCAAAGGAAGTGATTGGAGGAGGAAGGCGGGTGTCTGGCTAAACAAGCCTAACCCACCGTTCTGGATTAACGGGGTCGGCTGGGGAGACCCACCGCTTCATAGAAATACATACATGAGTCTAAATGAGAAAAGATGATTTATCATGGACTAACTGACCGGGCGCCATGGATGCAGAGCCAGTAAGCGCAGGGGCAAACATCTATGCCCCAAGCCGGAACATCTACACAGCTCTTTATAGCCCTGCAATGCCAGTCCCACAAGCCCCAGTCAGTGGACCCAGGCTCTGAGACTTGCTGTCACAGGTCTTTTTCTGCTGTGTGGACATACCCTGTGTGCCTAGCCCATGGCCCAGGGCCCCATGTGGGCATTAAATGGCGCAGAGTTGGAGGACTTGGTGAAGGTGAGCTAATTGGGCAAGCAGGACGGAGAGTACGCTGCCCATGCAGACCCACTGCAGAGATGGATGCGAGATCTTACGGTGCCATTCCCGTGCCCTGAGTAAATGGGTTCTGTGGAGGGGATATTGGGCAGAATACCCCATCCCACCAGAGGCAGGACCACGAGAGCTGATAGGATCAGTATTGCCACAAATGACACATCCCATGGAGCCACCTATTTCCTCCCAGGGGAAGCCTTGGATGTATTCCAGGCTGGCCCCAGCAGTCCTGGTAAATCACCGTACCCAGCCAGCTCCGCAGACTGACGACCTTCCAGCCGGTGTTGAAGTACGTCTGTACAAAGAGCCAGGTGGTGCCCAGTGAGAACATCACAGTCGCTATCCGGATCAGCCCTGCAATGGGAGAGAGAGACAAGCGTGGTAAGTCGCAGCGCTCTGGAGAGTGGAGTAGCTCGGCCCCTGAGCTCATTTCCCGCCACTTGCCAGGGACCACGGGTCACTCTCAGAGAAGGACGCAAGTTCCTGGCAGAATTCTCCTCCGATCTACAGAGAAGTAAAACGTGACTCTCTTTTTTTAGCTGCCCGAGAGCCCCCCTGCAGTCGGAGCCATGGGGGCAGACCCCTGCCCCCACACAGAGCCCCTTTGATGTGGCCCTGCACTGGTGCAGACATCCACCCCCGTGGAGCCGGGGCCCAAGTAATTACCAGCATTGGGGTTAGGTAGGCCATCAGCGCCAACCCTGTGCCTGTTGTTTGGCTGTGCTTGCCCTCCACGTCCCTGGCCCTAGAGCACAATGCTGCAGAGGGCTAGCCAAGCAGCGTTCATCAGCCAGTTCCCATGCAGCTGCAGAGGGAGAAGGCAAGAGAAGAGACAACCAATACCCCTGACAGCTGCGTGGGGAAAAGAGCAGGTACTGCCAGATCCCCCTGGCGGAGGGGCAGGAAGGCGGGGAAGGGAGTTCTGCTCATCCCCCCTGAGGCAAAGGGATGGGGGTGCTGTAAAGGTGGGGTTCTCCGGCAACAGCAACGTCACTATATGTGGGTTCCACTTAGCTATGAGCCCGAACCGCAATGCCTAGAGCCAACCCTCTTCAGAGCTCAGGGGTGTTCAGAGCTTGGGGCACGGCCCTCGCTGGCTCCAGTGGGTTTGCTTAATGGGGCCTGCATGCAGCAAGAGATTGAGTGGTGAGAGCACGAGACTGGGAGTCACGTTCTGCCACTGGCCCACTGTGCGACTCTGGGCTAGCCGCTTGGCCTACCTGTGCCTCAGTTTCCCATTCTTACATACAAATAATATGGGCCTCATGGGGCTTAGCCCGAGTTACTGGGGCTGGGTTCGATGCGCTGGGTGGAGCTGCTGGTTTGTGCTATGCAGGAGGTCAGTCTAGAGCAGTGCTTCTCAAGCTATCGGATGTGGGGGACTGGCAATTTTTCCCCAATGTGCACGCAGACCAGCAGCTGATGGCTCGCGGACCGGCACCGGTCTGCGGACCACCACTTTGAGTAGCACTGGTCTAGATCATCATAATGTTTCTTCTGGCCTTAAAAATCTTTGGCTCTATTAATGAATGTTTCTATAGTGCTTTGAGGTCTGTGGGCAAAAGATGCTACATAACTGCAAAGCATCTCTGAGGCATTCAAAAGCCATGTAAATCCAAGTCCTTCTTGAGTTCCCAGAGCTGGGAGCCTCCTGACTTCCCCACCTAGTGACTAGCTCCCGTTGAACAGCTGTTAATGTAAATCTGATTGGTGTTTGGTTTTAAAGCAACGGTCAGTGGAGCACAATGCTCTTTCCCTGCCTTGGAAACATGATTGGAGAAAACATTTATATTGCATGTGAATGTCTCTTATGGAACCAAGAACCTCTCCACAGTCATCTCTTCCCCAGGCTGGAGGGATTTCACTGGAAAAAAGACAATAGGCTGAACTGTATAAAAGTTCTTCAGAAAAAGGCTGCACACTTATTGACACTTCGATCCTTTCCTACTACTCTGGCTGGATGCGGTAATTTAGAGGTCTTCATGCGAATGAGAAACAGGCCCAAAGAATAGGAACAAAGAGCATTTTTTGTAATCATTATAAAAGAAATATCCTCTTGCCTCTTACCTGTCAACCTCATTGTAGCGCTCAGGTACAGTGGAATCTGGGCTGTAATCAAAGATCACAGGTCAACCTGCTGAAACAGAAAAAATATCTTGAAATGTAACTGTCCTCCAGCAAACCCAGGTAAGCGGTAGATTAAAGAGCTTACTTGCTGCGTAACGCTGCTAGAGCACCACAGAAGTATCCCATTTTACATATTTATCCCCAGACTGGATTTAGCTGCCATGGCTCTTGTAGAGCTAGTACAAGTCATTTTTACAATTTTCAGAATTTTTATAATTTTGGGTCCAATTGTATGACACCAGCAGACATTGTTTTAAACTTACTTCATTTTTAAGACCACCCTTGGCTACTCACCACTTATTCTTTGGACCCACCAGTAATGTTTTACGTTCTACTTCAAAATGGATCAATTTTTTTTTCTATCTGTTGCCGATTATAATAAGAATAATGAGTTTTGAAATTACTTGAAAATTGGATAGCATATTCTTTATTACAGAATATTTCAAATCATAGTTTTGTTGCATTTCATAGCTGGATAATGCAAAGCACATTTCTAATCCTAAAGCGTGCTAAGCACCAGGTGAGGACATGGCAAGGCTTGACCTTGACAGGTTAGGGAAAGTTTATTGTCACAAATCAATACCGTCAAAGAAACCACAGTACCTGAATAATTGAAAATAGTAACAAGCAAATGTTACATGCTCATATAGATCTCCATTCTTTGCATCACATATTTGATACTTTTTTTTGGCTACACACCCGAAATGGGAATTATAACTGTAACAGTTATTAAAGTTCATTAGGATAATTTCTAATGTAAATAAAGACACAGGACCAAATTCGATTCTTACGTGCCCTGGGGTGGCACCAGAAGTCTGCCAAGCACTTTGGATTTACAGTGGAGTAAGATCAGAGTTTGTCCCACAGGATGAGAGTTTATCTAGCCTTACTCAGACATAATCCCATTGACTTTTCTGGGAGTTTTGCCTACATAGGGACAGAGCATGGACTATCTGTCTACTCTTATAAGCCCTCACTACCATTCTCTTTGAGCACCTTCAGACCACAATGAATTGGACTGTCTGACCAAATCTAACCCCTTAGCAGTGGTAAAAGGAAGCGGGAAAGGGGACATTTACCTCCTGTGCTGCTGCCTATCCCCAGGCTGCTGCTTCTGATCTGACACACACACTGCAGGTGACTGTGGAGGATGGATCCCTTACCGCAGTTCCCGCTTTACCACTTGTGATTGCTCTGGAGCTGGGAGGCTAATTTTAACGGCTCGACACACGCCCCCAGCTCTGCTTAGTTCAGCCTTAAAGGAGCAAATGCTACTTTTGTTAGCTCTTCCTTGGAAAATTTCACACCCGAGCTGTGCTGGGTTCGGTGCCTCCTGACTGTCGGGCACAGAATGAACGCTGCTGCCAGGCTGCGGTGGAAGGAGAGTGCATTTTGCTTTTATGTAAAGATGAAAGAAAAAAGATCCTTCCCTCGAGTCTCTCCCTTTTCTCCACTGACCCTCCCATAACCAGATTGACAGGTCATGTAATCACTGGGCCAAAGAGTTAATGGCAAACCATCTCCCGGATCTTTCTTTTCCTGCTCAGACTCGGACAATAGTTCCATAGTTGTGCAAGGGCTGAGTGTCACCTCAGTCCTCAGGCTGGTACTGCCAGTGTCTCCAGCCCTGCAAAGTGGGTATGGAGGGGCATGGCCTGGCCCCTCTCTCTGCACCCCACAGAGGGGCATGCATGCCCTGACTGCAAGCCGGTGAGCGCCCAGAGATGCTGTGGCTCCTTGAAGCTCGTTGCCCCTCTGGCCTCCAGCTGGGCGGATGCAGCTCCACTGCCCCCCTCCCACAGTGGCTGAGCGCCTACAAGGGCCATCCAGCCCTCAGAGCATGTATGACATGATTCTGCTTGCATCCCAAAGTGCTTTTTTAAGAGCTGGTGGTGCCTCCCAGAAACCAGCCTGTCCAGGACTCCACCCTATGGGCCTTTGCTGCATTCCTGCAGGAGATCAGTGCGGGGCTGGAGTGCCCCACCAATGCACAATCAGATCCCAGAGAAGGAACTTACGTCTTGCCCAGGGAGAGTGGAGATGAGCTGGAGGGAAAGATATGCCCTGCCTTATTGGCCCAGGAGGTCTGCCAAAGCCAGCAATGAACTCAGACCGCCCGGCCAGCCGAGTGCCTTACCCATAAGACCCTGCATTTAGGATGGGCAAGTTCTTATACTCTTAGCAAATTATTGCCCCTTCTCCCCAAGTCTCTGCTAAGCCAAAGGGTTTCAATCAGATTACAAGGCTGTACTGGTTTTACTTTTACTTCATGCGAATATTGAAGTATGCCAAGGAAGAGTTAATGACCCCGGGCTTACCAGCCCAAGCCATGATGTGGGATAAAAGATTGGCCTTCTTTTCCTTAGCTGCATTTTAAAGGAGCTCCAAAGCTTGCTCTCTGTGTGGTTGCGTCACATCTAGGTTTATTATTAACATGATAAATAGTTGCTAAGCAATGTATTGCCAGTTAGCAGCATCGTGGGTTTTTCTGACCCCAGAAGCCCTTATTTACAAGAGATAATATTCTGGCAGTTAATTTACTCCAGGGAAATATTGTTCATGCCCCAGCCATTGACCTTGACTGTATGAATCAAGGAAAACAGGGGCCAAAGTCAATTTTTTTTCCTTTTCGGCCAGTATTGAGGTTGTAGGTATTTCTCTGGGTTGGAGTGAACGTAAGAGACACATTCCTCTCTACAGCTTCAACGTCCAAGGAAAGAAAAAGTAGGAAATTCCATCCTGACTTGTTTTACTGGAGTCCTGTTATAATGTGAGAAACTAAGAAACTGGAGAACTGCCCCCATAGATCCATCTCTGATTCCCAGTAAAGGCTAGACAGTGGAGACTGAAGGGACTTTGCCAGATTTTAGCTGGCTGCCTATTCTTAGCATGTCCACAAGATGATCCTTTAGCTGCGGTCCAGCCATTTAGGACCATTTACAATCAGGGGTTCTCAAACTTCATTGCACTGTAACCCCCTTCGGACAACAGAAATACTACACAACCCCAGGAGGGGGGACCGAAGCCTGAACCTGCCCGAGCCCCACCATGCCAGGTGGGGGGGTTGAAGCCGAAGCCCGAGCTCCACTGGTCCCAGGCGGTGGGGCTTGGGCTTCGGCCTGGGCCCCAGCAAGTCTAATGTCAGCCCTGGTGACCCCATTAAAATGGGGTCACGACTCACAGTTTGAGAACCCCGATGCAGAACCTCCTGCATCTTACAGGCAACAAACCTGCAGCCAGTGCTTCCTGCATCCAGCCCAGCAACGTGGGCTTGAACTAGAGCATAGAGATGTCTGAGCCGGATGCTGGAGAATTTGGAATAGAATGACAAAGAACAATTCCTCAGGTTCCCGGCTGGAACTGCCATTCCCTGACCAAGTGTCAGATTGCTGAAAGCCTGAAACAAACGTCTCAGCCTGTCTTCCACACCGCTATTAACGTCTGTGTACTTTCACCCAGCCAGTTATCCGGGATCTCGAGCTCCAAGGGCCAAGACTTAACCTCATGAATAATCCTGCCTTTCTCGGGGAGCTGCACTGATTTCAAACGCACCCAGGAGCTGGCTGAGTCAAGCCCTTTGGGCGAAGCGTAAGGGACTTGCAAATGGACAGCTCTAAGGATATCAATGGCAACCACCGTATGTGCGGGGGAGTTACCAGACCAGCCCCTCTCCAGAATGGCTCTGTTCGTGGGAGTCCGCCTGCTCTGTCTGCCAGCGGCGATAAACTTGCGCACATGAGAAGAGAACCAGGCCCGCACTGCAGCCGCCAGCCACAGCCAGGCCAGGAAGAAGAAGAGGGGGTTATGGGGCAGGAGCGTCAGCCCGAGCTGCCCAGCTCCTCTCCTGGCTTGGAGACTCCATCCATTGCTCTGGCACTGGGCCCAGCTTTCTGCAGGTCACTGGGCAGGTGGCCCTTTGCTGAGGGGCCAATGGACACCGAGGACTCCCCTGCACTACAGCCTCAGGCCCAGCACGGCCGCGGCTACTTGTCAGCCAGCCGAACGAGGTCCCTGGCAAGCGCATCCTCAGGCTGTAGAGGCTGTGACTCCCTCCTGCTGTGCCTGGGGCAAAGGCATGAGAAAGGAGGAGACCTACAGCCTCCTCCTTCTTGTGGCACCACCATGATCCCCGGCACGCAGCAGAACGAGAGTGGCCGAGAGTCACAGGAATAGCACCTAGGCCTGGCGACTGCTACGGGCACCATGAACGGCCAGACCTGCTCTGCAGGGCCTCCGCCTCCTTCTGTCTCTGCTGCGGCACCTCGCTCTCCCCCGACTCCAATTCAGACGAGTCTGGGAACACAGCGTGTGCTTCCTCCACCTTCTGCCTTTCCGAGCTCTGAGCTCCCACCCTGCCCAGCCCCGAGTGCAACACCCGGGACTGAGTCACCAGATCTCCGTGCTCTGCCAGGAGGAGCATGAAGCCAGGGAGTCAGATGGGGGCAGGGAGTGGGGGCTCCACCCTCCCAGAGCACTGCCAGATTTCGGGCCATGCAGCCTTTTCTGCGATGATGTGAGGGAGGGGGTGTTAGGATACAGATATTCAGGCCTGTCTGCAAAGGCCTGTACGCTAAGAATTTAGGGGTATTCTTATCACTTGGCTAGTTAGAGGTATAAAAGAAAGAATCAAAATCACTGTCTGCTGGTGTAAGGTCCTTCTCTTACTGTGACAGTCTGAGGCCCTGTTCTTAGGCTAAGGCCTTTGGCTAAGCAGCAGAGGCAGCCATAAGCTGGGAAGCGACCGGTCACCTCCTCACATCCCAAACTAGTCACATTGAAAGAAGGTGCTATGGGGCTGTTACGAATACAATCCTGTCCTGATAACGCCTATGGCCTCCAGAGAAAGGGAAGTGCCTAGAAGATGTAAAAGGAAATTGAGGTTGATAGTTTTCTGTCTGATAAGAACTCACTTATCAATAGACACAGCTGGGAAACTCTTATGTCTTTATAGATGTAGTTGTGAAATCCCCACTTCTGTATTGTTTTGTCATTATAGTTCCCACTTTGCTATTGTTTATTGGCACGGTCTCTGTCTGGTTCTGTGATTGTTTCTGTCTGCTGTATAACTAATTTTGCTGGGTGTAAACTAATTAAGGTGATGGGATATAATTGGTTAGCTAATCATGTTACAATATGTTAGGATTGGTTAGTTAAATTTCAGTAGAATGATTGGTTAAGGTATAGCTAAGAATATTACTATATAAATTAGGGGAAAACAGGAAGTAAGTTGGGATTCGAAAATAAGGAAAAAGGAACTTGTATTTAAGCTTGCTGGAAGTTCACCCCAATAAACATCGAATTGTTTGCACCTTCGGACTTCGGGTATTGTTGCTCTCTGTTCATGCGAGAAGGACCAGGGAAGTGGGAGAGTGAAGGAATAAACTCTCTAACGGGGGATCTCCGTGACCAGATCCTGTGCAGATTTCCTCTCCCTGCTGTGAGTATTGCCATAAGCCAGGAGGCTGCTGGCACCAGGAACATAAAACAGGGGATGGAACCTTGAAAATCCATGTGCTTGTTTTCACACCACTATCCCTAGCAATGAAAGAAACCAGGAAAGGGAGATACAGAAAATATAAGGATGTAGGATGGAAGGGACCTCCTGGGCCATCAAGTTCAATTCCCTGCTCTCACAGGCAACCTCATCCCATCATCCTCTTCATAAAATTATCAAGCTCCATCTTCAAATGAATTAGGAATTCAGTCAGGGGAAGGAGTGTTTCCAAGAAGGCTTTTTTCCCAGCATTTCCCCTTTGCACTGGCAGCGGCTTCACCCCCAACCAAACCCCATTCTAACTGGCCCCAAATCCCACCTTAACAGGAAGAGAACCACTCCCAGGAAGGCTCTTGCAAAATAATCTACAGAACCAATTGCTTCCTCCCCTTGCCCAGCTTTTATCCATCACACAATGTGTATTCATCTATACTCTTGTTGATTTTGTGGCAGGGTATGCAGAGAGATAAATGGCATATAAACCAATAAACAGTACATCTTTCAGCAAGTCATTTACTTGTTTGTGCCATTTGTCTCTGATGTAACCCCAAATGAAACTCATTGGATCAAATCTGCCCCGATGAAATCCCCAGCACTTCACTGCAATATCCCAGGGATCATTTAATCCCATTATTTCTGTGATGTTCCCTTTTAATTGTGTGGATTGATTTTGGAAGATCCACTGAAAAGCAATGGAAGAGGAAGCAACTAGCCAGAGAGAGAGTAGAAAGGAAGAAGTTGTGGAAGAGGTGGGGGGTGAAATGTACAGATTGTTTGGCTCAACAATTAAACCCTTTCCAAGAACAAATCGATTTCTTAATAAACATTATCCAGGCAACACTTTTCCTCCTTTACAGGACCCCTGTCAGATACTAACATTAAAGGAAACTCTCTACCTGTTAGATCTTGGATCTTTCGAAGATATTGTTTGCAGCAGTCAGTCCTTAGGAGAGAAATTTCATGAAATGCACATATTCTTAAAGAGGTGAAGGGTTCATGTAGCGTTCATGCACCTGGAAACAGTCAGGGCACAGCCTGATTGTTGTGTAGGAGTGATGCACACATTGCTCTGTCCAAGGACATGGACCATGGGAACATGAACCATTAAAAAGTCAATTAAAAAACATAAACCGTAAAAAGCTTCCTTAAACTAGGCTCAAGGCCTAAAAACAAAAATTATAATAAATAGAAACTAGTAAATAAAAATATTAATCAAAATCATATTATTTCCTTTGTTAATGCCTTTTGCGGTCAAAATATATAATGCGCAAATAAATAAATAAAAAAGCTAACAAAAGCAATCCAGTCAGCAAACCAGCCTGCTTGCTTGCCTAAAGCCGTGTCCTGCCTTGTATTAAACCGCCACAGAGAGGGCTTCAGAGATTCAGTACTTTCCAGTTTATGAATGTTCACATTCTCCTCTCAATAGTGGAGGAAAACTCAGGTTAGTTTCCCAAGGAAAACACTGCTCTCTCTTTTTTCCTTTTCATTTCACTGCTGCACTTTTCTCTCTCTTCTGGCAGGCTGATGACCTCAGCTCAGCCACCTGGTTTCAGATACATGCTCACATACACACTCATGGCAATAGACATTTCTAGCTACTGAGCTGACCAAAACATGGAAGTTGAGGATTTTCCCTTCAAAGAAGAGATCAAAAGAAAAGTAGCACAGACAAAAGACAGACCTACATCCTGAATTGTCTCTCACATTCGCTATGCAGCTTTGGAAAAAAATTAGGCCAGCCCCTGAACTGATGTAAATCAGCAATGCTCCATTGATTTTAATGCAGCCGTGCCAATTCCCCCCTGCTGAGGATCCGACACCGTGCCTTCTAGCTGAACAGATAGATACAATTTGCTTTGAAATGATCATTGTTTTGTTCAGAGCATTTGCAAAATGTATTTGTTTTGACTTCAAAAATACCGGGCAGTTCAGAGAAGCAGGCAGATGAGTGAGCCTGAGTTCATGCCTTAGCTGTGTATTTAAGACGAGGCAGCATCTTCCCCAGCAGTCCCCCTCCAGCCTTAGTATCACTGTTCTCTGTGAGGATGTTCAGGGTGGTCTGTTTAAACCTTTTTCCTTCTTGCAAGTCAAGGAGGGGAGATGCAATCCTGCTTGGCAGAAGTGTGGAAAACCCCGGCTGACAAATGGGTCTCTAAGGAGACTTCCTGGCCCAGTCAATCCCAGGCTCTTTTGAGTTGTAGAACGCCGAGGAGGTGAAATACTGACATTTATAAGGCAAAACTTAACCAAATGCATCAAAACTAATTTGATAAGAGGACTGGGGCTGGATTGTTTTATGACAGGGAATAAATGTACTTTTACCCGTGATAAGGGTAGGGGGAATGTGATTAGCTGGGCTAGTCCATAGGCAAATGCTACCTGCGAGATGGCTTTTTTCTTTTCTTTCTTTTTTTTTTTTTTACTGTTCAACTCATACAAATATTCGGCCAAAGGCTTACTGTTGTCAGTCATTTGAAGAATTCAAAGCTGTTGTAGGTAAATAGTTACTCAGTGATAAGTTGTCAGGGTTAAAGGCTGGTCCCTGGATCTTTAGTTCAGAGCCAAACAGCTAGATCCACAGCGGGTGTAAATCAGCACAGCTGTAGCTGAAGTCAATGGAGCAGTGCCTGCCTACTCCTGCTGAGCATCTGGCCCAGAGCTGGGATAGGGTCTGGAAGCCCACTGCACTCTCTGTGGCTTTCCCGGAGTAAGGGGCAGGCAGTGTGAAGGCTCCTGGAGGTGGCAAGGGTGAAGGCTCAGGGGCCACCAGGGTCAACACCACACAGATGATGGCCTGGCTCCGTCCCTGCCCACTGCACAGTGCAGTTTTAGGTTGGCCCTGCCCTTCTCTCCTCTCTTAGTTGTTGTGGGCTGGTCCTGAAGGGTGAGGCTGATGAGTGAGGGGATTCCTGCCCCTCTAGAGCAGGGTACGGGTACTAACGTGCCCCAAGAAGTGCAGGTGCCTCTGGTGAATTTGCGGCTTGAAAGTGGCAGGAACCCTTCCTGCTGTGGGGCAGCCCGTTTACCAGAGCTATTCTAAATACGCCTCTTTCCAGGAACTCGCCTGGATGGGCTAGGTCCCAGCCCGCCTCACCTGGCTTAGAACCCTGCTCATCCTGGTGCCTGCTGTGCTGGAGAACTGCTCACTGGGAGACTCGCGCTGGACAATGCATCTGGGACCCACTGTTCCCTATGGTGGTGACGGGGCCATTGAGGGAATGGAGCACCGGCCATGGCTTCCAATACCACCTGCTCTGCTGGGTTCTCTCTGTGCTGGGTCCAGTTCCTCCGTCCTGCTGTTCCTCTCTGACCCTGATGTGGCTGCTCAGCTGGTTCAGGGAAGAAGGGGTCGGCAGACAGGGCCTAATGGGATCGCCTACAAGTGACAGGACTCAACAGAAGGTCTGCCAGGCCCCACTAGACAACTATCCCCAGCTCCACACACTGGGCTAGATCTTGAATTCCACTGACTGCAGCTGGAGCTATGCGATTCCCAGCGGCTGAGAATCTGGCCTATTGTCTTATTATCCTTGATTTTCAGCCTTTTGTCCAGTTTCAGTGCCCATCACAGAATCAATATCCAAACCACCATGAACTCAGCCTCACAGTGAGTTTCATCAAGCCCTGCAGCAGGGTCTGGAGGTAAAGTAAAACTACGTCAGTCCCTCCGGCACTGTCCCAGAGCTCAGCGGGATTCACAAAAGGACTGGACATTTCTATGGATAGCAAGAATACCCAGAATTAGAATGGTACATGCTAAAAAACCCTCCCGCGTCAGGGATCAGACATGAAATCTGACGCTCCAAGCATAAGCCAGCCACTAATTACTGGGGCTTGGGAGAGAATTTTCCCTGGCAGCAGATTTCTCCCAGAGCTGCCTGCTGCAGGGTTCTAGCACCTTCCTGTGAAGCAGCTAGTGCTGGCCACCATCAGAGACCATCTACCAGCCTAGGTGATCCTTGGCTCTGACCCAATCTGGCAGCTGCTGTGTTCCTATGGCACGCCGCACCCACCTTCCAGGATCTGCCCTAAGTTTATCAGGCTCGGAGATAAAGCAAGAGGCAGGTCAATAGGAAGAACCTGTTCTACTGCAATCCCCAGCACAGCCACCACAGCGGGCTAAGAAAACAAATATCAAAGAGCAATGAACACTGTGAGCACAATAAAAAGGAGGAAATGAAGAGGTGGGAAACCAAGGCAAATAGAGAGATAAAGGAACCTAATGCAAAGTGTCAGCAAACTGCAGCTGGCTCTCATACCTGATAGCTCCATGTTTAGTAACATGAGCTTTCGTGAGCTACAGCTCACTTCATAGGATGCATACTGTGGAAAATACAGAAGAACATCTTCTGTATTTTCCACAGTATGCATCCAATGAAGTGAGCTGTAGCTCACGAAAGCTTAGGCTCAAATAAATTGGTTAGTCTCTAAGGTGCCACAAGTCCTCCTTTTCTTTTTGCGAATACAGACTAACACGGCTGTTACTCTGAAACCTGTTTAATAACCTTGCCCTTTGTCTGGGCCATGAGTTACACTGTGCTGTGATGGCACTGAGCACTTGGATCAATGGGACAGGCAGCTGAGGGTCCAGGGCACTCTAGATAGCTGAATATTCTGGAAGGGCCATGAAGATTGTGAGTAAAGAGCAGCAGACAGCAGGGTGGTGGTTACAAAGATGCAGGGCCAGACTGCTGGGGGTTGTGCGGGGACCTTCCCCTCCCTGGCATCAGTTAGAGCAGTCTCAGAGGTCCTCTCATTCATACCCAGTTGCCTGTGGCCTCCAGGCTCAGATCAGCCAGAGAGCAGCGGCTTTGCC